TTTCACAAAATGAGTCAAAAAACACAAAATTTGTTTAAAAACAGTGTGTTCCTTTATATTTTTTAAAGTTTTTAAGCACGTTTTTCATCTAAATTTTTAATTTCTTGCGAGATTTTTTTTAAAACAAACTAAAAAAACACAAAATTAAATTATTATTTTTGCTTTCTTCAAGTTATTTGCATGATTTTCAGGTAAAAACGTAGTTTTGCAAAATTTTGTTAAAAAAAAGCCCAAAACTTAGAGAATTAGTCCAAAAAGTGTTATTTTTGCTTTTTTCGAAGCATTTAGTACGTTTTCTAAGTCAGAAGCAAAACTACTTTGAAATTTTGTTTTTAAACTAACCGAAAATTTACCAAATTGGGTCAACAATTGTGTTATTTTTGAATTTTTATGTTCATTCAAGTTTTTTCAAAAAAATTGGGTAAAAATTTAAAATTGGTATTTTTAATTTTATCTTGTTTCTCAGGCTTTAGTTCGTTTTTGAACCAGGGACTTTTTATTTGCAAGATCTTGTCAAAAGAAACTTAAAAATTGCAAAAACAAATTTATATTGACGGTATTTTGTTTGTTTTATGCAAGATTTTGACAAAACAAACTAAAAAACAGAACACCAAGTCATTATTTTTGCCTTTTAGGTATTTTTCCTGGTAAAAACGTAAACATGTCGCAAAATTTCATTAAAAACAAATCAAAAGGCTATAGAATTAGACCAAAAATAGTGTCATTTATGCCATTTTCAAGCTTGTACCCATCTTTTTGGGCGCGATTTATGTAAAAAACGTAAATCTTCAACAGTATTAGAAAAATTTGAATCCTAATCTTGTAATCTAGTAAAAATAGGAGTAAATCTGGCAACTTTCTCAGCTCAGATATGGTGAATTAATTTTTTTGACCTGGCAACACCGAATTGAGACAACGGTCGAAAATCACCCAACTAAACCAAACAAAATGACACATGAGTCCGTAAAAGTACTTTTTACGGACGATTTTCCTAATCGTTCTTGGATGATAATCGCCTGTTTATTCAGTGACAAATAAATAAGCGGTAAAAAGCCGAACATGCGGACGTGATTCATCACCAGCTCTCGATATAACCCCACAAAAACCTCAAACGTCAAAAGTGAGTTATTACAAGAACTGCTGACTTCGATTCCCGACTTGAGATCACTCAAACGTGCCCCAGATTCTCCCCCGAGTGTCATCAACTAGCGAATCTCTCTCACCGTATACTCTCCGTGCGTGACCTGGGGGACCAGTCCTTGCTGCGGCTCCCCGATCGCAGTCTGGAGGGGCCCAGCGAGCGTCTGGTCTTCCACGTCTCGAAGTGGTGGCGGACGGTGTTCTGCACCTCCGTGTTCAAGAAGCAGTAGAATAGAGCGACGGTGAAGCCCTGTAATTGCAACGGAATGGCTTTAGCAAATTGGTGATGCTCGTTCAATGGCTAAATCGAGGAGATTGAGTGGTTTTAGAACGGTCGGGAGGACTAACTATTGTAATATTAATGATGCGGCCGAAGCGACAGCAGATTGAGGCATGTCGGGCAATGGGGGCGGCACAAATGGCCCCTAAAAGGGGATTTAGAGAGAGGTTGAAACAGCAGTTAACGAAACTATTTCACTGCTTTTGCGAATTAATTTTTTATTTAAAC